GGTGGCCAGTCAGGGAAATGCACAGAGCGTATCCCCCATGAAGCAGCAGTGACACCCGGTGGCCAGTCAGGGAAACGCACAGAATGTCAAGTATCAGAGGGGTAGCCGTGTTAGTCTGTATCCGCAAAAAGAAGAACAGGAGTACTTGTGGCACCTTAGAGACTAATAAATTTATTAGAGCATAAGCTTTCGTGGACTACAGCCCACTTCTTCGGATGCATATAGAATGGAACATATATTGAGGATATATATATATATATACACACATACAGAGAGCATAAACAGGTGGGAGTTGTCTTACCAACTCTGAGAGGCCAATTAATTAAGAGGAAAAAAAACTTTTGAAGTTATAATCAAGATAGCCCAGTACAGACAGTTTGATAAGAAGTGTGAGCATACTTACAAGGGGAGATAGATTCAATGTTTGTAATGGCTCAGCCATTCCCAGTCCTTATTCAAACCGGAGTTGATTGTGTCTAGTTTGCATATCAATTCTAGCTCAGCAGTCTCTCCTTGGAGTCTGTTTTTGAAGTTTTTCTGTTGTAATATGCAAACTAGACACAATCAACTCCGGTTTGAATAAGGACTGGGAATGGCTGAGCCATTACAAACATTGAATCTATCTCCCCTTGTAAGTATGCTCACACTTCTTATCAAACTGTCTGTACTGGGCTATCTTGATTATCACTTCAAAAGTTTTTTTTTCTCTTAATTAATTGGCCTCTCGGAGTTGGTAAGACAACTCCCACCTGTTTATGCTCTCTGTATGTGTGTATATATATATATATCTCCTCAATATATGTTCCATTCTATATGCATCCGAAGAAGTGGGCTGTAGTCCACGAAAGCTTATGCTCTAATAAATTTATTAGTCTCTAAGGTGCCACAAGTACTCCTGTCTTCTTTTTGCGGATACAGACTAACACGGCTGCTACTCTGAAACCTGAAATTTAAATAGTGCGGGCTGAGCGTGCCTGGCGGCTGGTATCCCAGACTGGCATTGGGCTGAGCAGCCAACCTGGGGTTCCGTCCGCTGGCTCCTGCCAGCCGGGGTCCTGGCCGCTGGCCCGCTCAGCCCGCTGCCGGCTGAGTGAACGGAACCCCAGGCCGACAGCGGCCTCAGTGGCAGCCGGGACCCGTAGCCTGCCATTGAAAAAAAAAATAATTGGCTCGCATGCCACCTTTGGCACATGTGCCGTAGGTTGAAGACCCCTGTTCTAGTGTATACAGTGTGTACTCTACTTTATGGTAATTTTCACTATACGCGCTGACCTCAGAACCTAACCCCCGCGTAAGATGCGACTCCACTGTAGACTCAATAGTTTACACATAAAAAGTATTATTTTGCTACTTGTAACCCAAAAGCAATAGCCCCATCCCTTTTTCAGCCAGGCAGTCAAAGGCCCTTCGGAAAAGGTACATACTTTATTGGTGCAGTCTGGTTCCCTTGGTCCTACCCTTCTGACTAACACTGGTGTGATGCTATTATTGGCTGACAGAAGCATCAGATTACTGTATTCAGGATGAGCTGCAATTAAGTGCTTGGCAGAACTGCATTAAGATACAAGAAATTTCACCTTTCTTTAAATGAGACCAAAATTTTTCTACTAGCTTAAGAAGAGAGTTGGAGACTAGTTAATGACTGATTCTTATTTCCACTTTGATTTTTCTGGGTAACAATAGCTGGTATGCTGGACCAACTCAGAGAGGTCCTTACTAAGAGCACAGCAGCGATGCCAAATGGTTCGAGGCTATGGAAGCTGAAAACTGATTGTCTTCAGCATTTCTCTAATAATATCTACATTTCCTTATCTTCCTCCAGTGGGAGTCTAGTCTTTCTGTTGAATCCTGAGAATGTGCAGGCAGAATTATAATAGATCTTATTCATGGACTGTACTCTTCCTTGTTCAGTGTTGGTAATAGGGGACATCGTATCAAATATTTTTTCCTAAATTTCCCCCCTACCACTTTGTCTAGGAAGGAATCCCAAGAAGAGTCCTTCCCAGAAATGGTGTGAAGCTCACTAATTACCCAGAAAAGTAGTTTTTCTTTCATGCCTGGAGCCACAAGTGTCTCCTAGCTACAGTGTTAGAAACCACAACCCTGGAAGAAAACCTGATAGAATTCATTGTGGCATTCATGACATATTATGCTGTGATTGAGATTTTGTTAAGGATGGCCTAAAAGCTTGTCCTTGGGCAGCAATAGTTCTTTTTGAATCTCAAACTAGATCATGATTACCCTTACTTAGAAAGTATCTGATGAGGCTTGCATACACTTAGCAGGTGCCTCATAAAAGAAAACCAAGCCAAAACTGTTTTGGTCCTTTGGCAAGAATTCTCCTTCTGGGAGTAATAATTTCCGTACCTGATGCTGCCAGAGCAACGTGTAATTTTGTAATTTAGGTCAGGGACAGTACTATTTTTAGAATGAGTAAAACTTCATCACTACTTTATTCATTTGCCTACCCTTTGCTGGTTGCGCCCATTCTGATTTGATTGCTTTCCTTGGATCATTCTTGTTGCTTCAGAGAAAGTAATCCTGGTTGGAGGAATTTGTTTGAATTTTGCTCAGCAGTTGGTTCACACCCAAGACCAGGGAGACTTGGCTGGTCATCTTCATTCTTACTGGGAACGAGAATGCCTGTTCTAAGCGTTAGCTCCAGATTATTCAGTGCCTGAAAATGGACAATTTCTTTAAATCAGAAGTGAAGAACTAGAGATGGAGCTCCTATGCATCTTGAGTGTATGGAGGGTTCTTTTTTTTTTTTTTTTTTTTTTAAGATTTTAGGAAAATAAGTTTATTCAGAATAAGGATTCCTTGTCTTTAAGGGCTTGTCTACATTGGCAATTTACAGCACTGCAACTTTCTTGCTCAGGGGTGTGAAAAAACACCCCCCGGAGCCCAGGAAGTTTCAGTGCTGTAAAGTGCCAGGATATACAGTGCACCAGCGCTGGGAGCCGTGCTCCCAGTCCTGGTAGCTATGCCCCTCGTAGAGGTGGGTTTTTTAGAGTGCTGGGCGAGCTTTCTCCCAGCGCTCTGCCACGACCACACAAGCCACATTAAAGCGCTGCCACAGCAGCGCTTTAGCACTGTCAGTGTAGACTAGCCCTAAGAGGTTTTAGCGTTTGGTATTTTAAGGTATATTAGTCCTAGTAGTGATGGATCAACTGGTCGTCCATAACTCTAACCCAAATTACATATTAGTAGCATTTGAAGAGCAGGCTAAAGCACCAGGAACAAATCCTGCTTTTGCCATAAAGGTTTGTCAGCATAATTTAGGCTGTTTAGGAATGGAGACGGCTCCTGAGGTGCTTCGGATCTGACACAGGGCCGAGGAGGAAAGCAAGTCTTACTTCCTGGACAGTACTAGAAGAACCATCTTCTTCAAGTTACCAGATTTGCCAGATTTCTTGCCTTTTCTGTGTCTCTAGGGCTCTCCCTTTGAAGTATGTTTCACCTGTTCTGCTATCAACATGGAAGGCTCTGAGTTTACACACTATTTTTCAAAGACTCAATCACAAAAATGTGCTGAGTGCTATGCAGGAATTTCTGAACCTTTTGTGAGAAGGATGCCTGCTGACTC